TGACACACTAGGAACTAGAGTGACACACTAGGGACTAGAGTGACACACTAGGAACTAGAGTGTCACACTAATGACACACTAGGAACTAGAGTGTCACACTAATGACACACTAGGAACTAGAGTGTCACACTAATGACACACTAGGAACTAGAGTGTCACACTAATGACACACTAGGAACTAGAGTGTCACACTAATGACACACTAGGAACTAGAGTGTCACACTAGGAACTAGAGTGTCACACTAATGACACACTAGGAACTAGAGTGTCACACTAATGACACACTAGGAAGCTTCAGTCCTGTCCTCACGTTAATCAGTCTTGCGCATCTTGGGGCTCCAAGAGTCACCTTCATGGCTTCATTCTGTATTACTTCTAGTTTGTTCAAAATGACGGTAATTAGGTGCAAGGCATGACAATTACGGATCTAATAAGTCATGTAAAATAGTCTAGCATATTCTTGTTACAGAGATTATAAGACCGGATTAAACTCTCTTAGTAAGAACGGAATCCAATACAGCTTTCAAGCGAGTCACAGTTCTTGTCAGAATAGTTAGAATACAAGTGTCATCAGCATAAATGAAAGCATAAATCAGCATAAAATGATGAAAGTTTCGTCAGTTAGTGTGGGAATGTCAACTATAATGACCAAACTACACATCAGAAGATGAAGAGACGAGGACGTTTCGGTCCATCCTGGAGCCAGATTCACGAAGCAGTTACGCAAGCACTTACGAACCTGGGACCAGATTCACGAAGCATTTACGCAAGTACTTACGAACGTGTAAATCTTTCCCCAATCTTTGACGACTTTGGTTACATTTATTAAACAGTTTACATTACGGGCTATTCATGCCCGTGCCACCTCTTGGGTGGCTTAATCTTTATCAATCAATCAATCAACTCCAACAGAGGCTACTTGTTCTAAGAATAAGTCTGTGTTTGCTGTGTCAAAAGGTGTCTAGAGATCAATAATGCCGCGTGAAAGCTTTATCCCTGCCTAATGAAATATTCCTTAAGGGGGCATAATTATGTAAAATTAAAAGGTGTTCAATTTGCTTATAAATTTATTTATGAAATGGTTATAGAAAGGGCTGCAACTGGTCCAAGTTTCACCATCACACCCTAAACAGAAAAGGAGAAAAAAAATACACAACGTATTATGCAACGAATTTTCAACATTTTCAAATACTCTGTGTCTGAGGGCTTCTTCCGGGAATGAAACCATACGGGATAAGAGAAGGTTGGATTCTATTTATTATATTGTTTATTAACATAGAAATAAATCTGAAATTGATGCAGGTATCTTCTTCTTGAGGTTATCTTGAGATGATTTCGGGGCTTTTAGTGTCCCCGCGGCCCGGTCCTCGACCAGGCCTCCACCCCCAGGAAGCAGCCCGTGACAGCTGACTAACACCCAGGTACCTATTTTACTGCTAGGTAAGAGGGGGCATAGGATGAAAGAAACTCTGCCCATTGTTTCTCGCCGGCACCTGGGATCGAACCCAGGACCACAGGATCACAAGTCCAGCGTGCTGTCCGCTCGGCCGACCGGCTCCCTTAGGTATCTTAGACTATATAAAGTACCTTAGACTATATAAAAGTACCTTAGACTATATAAAAGTACCTTAGACTATATAAAAGTACCTTAGACTATATAAAAGTACCTTAGACTATATGAAGGGTTTACATAGTGTGGGACAAGAACCTGCTAAGATATTCCCATTCTCGCAGAATGGGTAGATTATGTTCAACTTTAGAGATCTGTTGAACATAACCATATGATCAACAGATCTCTCACCCTGTCCCTGGAGGACAGAAGATAATGTGTAAATTCTGGTTAGCATTGTAAATGTCTGGCCACGTCTGTGGTAAAAGTAAATAAATAAATAATTGGTTAGTCAGAATGAGTTATGTGATCAGTTGCCTGCATTGCAAACCTTTACACGCATTACGAAATCCTCAAGAACACAGGAAGCAATAAAGTGGCTCTTCTATCTCCTCGAATATTACATTGTATTTTGACGTCAACAAGAAAAGCCCCAAAGTCAAAAACTGGTATAGAATACAATAGCGTTCTTGATGTTCAAGATTTGCTACCTGGAACAAAAAGTTCAAAGTAGCACGGGCTATGGTGACCCCGTAGTGCAATAGCGGCTCGCTAAACTGACAGAACTGTCCCCCCAATCGTGGTTCCTCTGTTAGGTTACGGGGCAATTTAGTACAGTATTTTTCTGAGGCTGTGACAAGTGGAGATGACGAGCTGAGTAAAGAGTAAGCAGGTCTAAGAAGACAGGCGTCCGAGTGTGTCAGAGAGCCACGACCAGTCCACCTGCAGGAGGCGTATTGCAAACAAAAGATTCATTTACCCGGTTAAAAAAAAATCCAAGTTAGAGGGTATAAGTGGACTTGGTGAAGTCTCTTGTAGAGGGCGTGTAGAGGGCGTGTAGTAGAGTTCTCTGACCTGCTGAGAGTACATACAAGTTGTTGACCAGACCACACACTAGAAAGTGAAGGGACGACGACGTCGTCGTCCCTTCACTTTCAAGTGTGTGGTCTGGTCAACATATTTCAGCCACGTTATTGTGACTCCTCGTCTACATACAAGTTATTCTTCAGTAAGGTCTTCATGAGTTGTGTGTGAGGGGTGTGTGGTGGTAGTGTGAGGACTTGTGGCAGAGTAGTGAGGACTTACCTACTCATGAAGGAGAGTGTGAGGAAGTGTTGACATTAATATTGTTAATCAGTACTAAATTATAATTCACCTTCGTGAAGTGAGAACGATTATTTCCATAGCGTGTGAAGTCAATTTCCTCGTTAATGAAAACAATTTTGCTTAAAGTATTTAGGCACCACAATTTATGAGAATAAGTATCGGAGTCTCAGGAAATGAGCAGGAATCACTTGCTTCACACTGAGATGAGTTTCTCAATTTATGAGTGATACATTAACTCCCAAGCACCTATGGTCATTACTATGCAATGAGGTGTCATAGAAATTGTGATGCAGTGAGTGCTTTCTGGCAGATTTGATCTTTTGATGGGCTCATGAGTTGAGGAGTTTTAGTGTGAAAAAAGACCAGTAACCTGGGGAGGGAGGGGGGGGGGGGGGAGATTAACCTAACCTGCTTGTTCTCAACACAATACGTGTTGTGTACGTGTATAGATGGTGCTGTAGTTACCTGGAGTGTGTGTATATATGATTCCCAAGTCCAATTGAAGCACCATTGACACAGCTGCAAGACCGAATGGAGCACGTATTTTAATACTGGGAGACTTTAAGAAGAAGATGGAGTGACTTTTCTGCTTGTTGAAGCAGGAAAGATCAACTTGCTAAACTAACGTGTAGGTTGATCCCAAAGATAGAAGGGACGTAATCAAGCCGGCAGACTCTCCTTTCAACTCTGAATAAGAACAAGTCAATTAGGAACCCATCTTATTAATGAGTATTGACCTGAAGCATCTGGGGGCAGTAATACTGAGGACGTCATAAGGAAAGAAACAAGAATTACAAGGCTGGAGGGAAGGAAAATTTTCGATATTATTTGACACAGAATTCAGATAAATTCCCACGTGGAAAAGACACATTTTCTGAGCCAGAAATGCCGAGATGCCGTCGACAAATTCGTCCCGGAAAGAATTGTTTCAAGACAGAATCGACAGAGAGGCGGTATTCCTGTGGGGACACAATTCACACTCTGAGCAAATGTGAGAACCAAAGAACAAATAACCCACCGAAGAACAACAAAGAACAATGCGACTGTTGACGTGCTATAAAGCACAAGCCATTAATATTGGTGAAGAATACTGTGAGGCGACGGGTGTAGTCGCCTCACTGTGTACTGTGTCGGGCGTGAACACTGCGCCTGAACACCGTTGTTCACACCTCCAGTTATGTCCCGCTTCTGAGTGAGTGAGTGAGTGAGTGAGTGAGTGAGTGAGTGAGTGAGTGAGTGAGTGAGTGAGTGAGTGAGTGAGTGAGTGAGTGGTGTGAGTGAGTGAGTGAGTGAGTGAGTGAGTGGTGTGAGTGAGTGAGTGAGTGAGTGAGTGAGTGAGTGAGTGAGTGAGTGGTGTGAGTGAGTGAGTGAGTGAGTGAGTGAGTGAGTGAGTGAGTGAGTGAGTGAGTGAGTGAGTGAGTGAGTGAGTGAGTGAGTGAGCGAGTAAGTGAGTGAGTGAGCGTGTGAGTGAGTGAGTGAGTGAGTGAGTGAGTGAGTGAGTGAGTGAGTGAGTGAGTGAGTGAGTGAGTGAGTGAGCGAGCGAGCGAGCGAGCGAGCGAGCGAGTGAGTGAGTGAGTGAGTGAGTGAGTGAGTGAGTGAGTGAGTGAGTGAGTGAGTGAGTGAGTGAGTGAGTGAGTGCCTGCATGTGTGGGTGTCTCTAAGCGTGTCCACGGTAAACCTCAACTCGCGCACATATCAGACATAATTCAGGATATGTTGTAACATATTTTCACGCACGTGTCAGACCAATTATTACCCGTGTTGATATATCAATATATCGGTGGCGCAGCGCACTCTGCACATACCCCTTGGCTCCTCCTGGACGCACACACACACACACACACACACACACACACACACACACACACACACACACACACACACACACGCTATGCACGCAACTCTCCTCCAAGTGACCCTCATGTCTGGTGCAAATCAGTGGCATTGAAAAGGTCTCTTACACAAAGGCGCTTAAAACCATATTTATATAACGTGACTGAAATTCTCCGTGTATCTTCAGTCTTAACATTGTCTTGACACAGTTGTGGCGACGAGTGTCTATGCCAGCCACGATCTCCAGCTATGCGAGTCAACGTTCGATCCCCGATATTGCAAATGATGATACACGGCACATCGTTCCGTATATCATCATTTTCCAAAATGATGACATAATGGCCATATTCATCGGCATTGCGTCCATATATATCATCATTTTCCCCTAGCTTGTCCTCATATTCCAACTCATATTCAAGCTTTTATTATTTTCGGAACACCATGAGAATTA